AGGAGGAGGAGGAGGAGGGGGAGGAAAGTATAACAATTCCTTTTCCATTAAATTGAAGAAGCAGCCCAAGGGGGAAAAATGCAGGAGAAAATGTTGGCTGAGCAATAATACAGAGTTGTGCATATATTGTTTTCTTTGCAAAATATACATAAACTGTATGATAAATAGGGTTCGATTAACCCTGCGCTAGATATAAATGTATAACCAATTAACTAATTTTAATCTCTCTCCCTCTTTTTTTTTAAAAAAAACATCTGTTGGCATTTTTGTTTGAATAATCCTTGTTTAGTTTCCATAATAGTGTACATTTTAATGAAAAACTCATTAGAATGTAACAGAGGGCATAATTAATTCTGGGTGATTCTTTCTATGTAAATAGCTAGCACAGATGCCAAATTCCATTTTCTGCTGGCTTTATTAATTTTTCATACACCAATATTTCAGCCATAATGGGTTGTAACAGCTCCTCAGAAGTTTTAGAAACACATTAACTGCCATCAGAGCTGTTAATCTAGCTGGGATTTTCACCATTTGTATGATAATACTTTAACACTACATTTTTAAAAACAATGGCAACAGCTTTATATTTTAATGTTTTGAAACAAACATCTATGTATAATTAACGTAAGTAATATTAAACAATATTGGGTTAATTTCTCTGTATTTAGAAACAACTTAATCTATTTTGCAACCCGTTTGCTCAAAGACAAAACAGGAAGGGGACATTTAGATTTTTTAAAAACTGAGAAGAATGTGAAAAATAGCAACATTTGGAAAGAAATAATGTTCAATCGTAATAGCCATTGCGGTTAAAACTGAGAGCTGAGATTGTCTAGCCTTCACTTCAACCATACTTTCTAATTCGGACAAGCCTCATCTTTCAGCTTTACCCTGACACTGACAGTATCGACTGGAAGATTGCCAATCCTTAAAGAGTAGGATTTTTAATTCTTTGCTCCTGCTGGTCCCAATCCTGCTGCTAATTCTATGGGGGGCTCCAATGCCATATGCAGTCGTCTTATTTCCTTTTCCTGAAAATGGGAAGGTCTCAATTTCTGGAAGCAGTAGGAGGACTCATCTATGACCCCAAAGTCCCAGACACCTTTTATCTGTTTCCTTTGTTATGCTTCAGTAGAGCAGACGTACTGGGTGATGATTAGCTTAGCCCAGAAAAACAGCTGGAGAGGCCGTGGCAACAGGATGTCCAAGACTTTCCTTGTTATTCTTCAAGGCGGCTCGGTGTGCATTTCTCTGCCTGCGTCTCTTTGGACTGGTCACTGAGCACAATAAAGACACAGGCTCGCTCTCTCTCTGTCTCTCTCTCTCGTTCCTAATCTTAGTAGATCAAGAAAAAAAGAAAGAAGAAAATGCTGGGGTAAACCACTACTGTTAAAAAAAAATTGGGAAAGATGCAAAGTTTAAATAGTTTTCAGCCATCTAATACGTAGAGGAAAGCATAATTCATCACAACTAGAATTATAGCAATATAATTCTATATTATATTATATTCAACAGCAGAGTTGAAATCAAACTTCTGCAACTCTCTCAGACTCTCTTCCACCCACTCCCTTTTTTCCCACTTAGAGTAGGAGGTAAGAATATCCATCCACCTTGCAAGATTATTGCAAGAATGAATGTACACAAAATGCTTGGGACATTTTAAATGGGAGATGTAAATATTAATGCTGTTAAGAAACCCACCCTGATTAACGGGATATCTAAGATTCACAGTGAGCTGTTAGTTCCACCTTATCCCTTATGCACTGCCAGGCTAATTAATGAGGGTATTTTCATCATCTACCATCTTGAGGTGGATGAGGGTCTGTAATTTGATCAACCTCTCACAAGACATTCTTCATGCCCACGGACACATATGATGACGGATTGGGCCCTGAGCGACCTGCTTCTATTAGAACATCTGTAAAGGTCTCCCACCTACGTGTAGAGTTGAAGATTCTCTCTGTGCGCTTAAGAAGCCAGGCTAGAAGGCAAATTTATAGCTATAGAGACTCCTGCCTGCTCATGAGAGACTGCCATAAAAGTGGGTCATAAGCAGATTTTTTTTTCTTTTTCTTTTTTGCTCTGGGATTTAGAAGAGCCATTTTCCTTCCATGGATGGGCAATTATATATATATGGCCCACACAGGGTTTCACTAGAAGGGTGAAGGAAGGACTGCTACACACTTAGGAATGGCAGGCAGGACTTCATGGCTGCAGGCTTATGCAATCTGTGGGAAGCTATTGCGCTGTGCAGGAAACTCCTTATAGGTTCTCTGAGCTTGGTTGTTTTCGTGCAAATGTTTCATTAGGTAACATCTTCAGTGCTAGAATGGAGTGGAGTTTGCTCTCTGTTTATATGCAGTGGCACATCTAGCACTGAAGACATTACCTAGCCGGGTAATGAAACGTTTGCAAGAAAACAACCAAGCTCAGAGAACCCCAAGACCTCCACAGTTCAACCCTGAGCTACACATATTCTCTTCTATTGGAACTTCTTTTAGGCTTTACATCTCTAACATCTCTATTTCATCGGTGGCCACTCAGCTTCATGTGGAAGAATTTTTGTTCCTTGACCTGTCCCTCATTCTCCTTCTTTGCTAGCCTTCCCTCCTCAGGTCCCTGATCCTCATCAGAAATCCAACCCTGCAAGCTAGCGAAGCACTGCCCTAACCCCCCCTTTTCCCCCTACTTTAAAAGGAAATAAGATAAATTCATGTATCCTATCTTCTGCCCTGTCTCTGTGGCAAAAGAAAATCTCTTTCTTCTGGGATATCGGAAATGATGCTTCTTTCCTTCCGCACAATACGCTGACCCTGACTCGCAGACAGCAATGCGCAATGGAGACGTAGGAGTAGAAGGTGCAAGGATGTAGTAATGCCTTCATCTGATAGGAATCTATGTTCTAATTAAATTAGTTGAGTTCACGCTAATTCATTAATGGCACAGTGCAATGATATGTGAACCCAGGAAGGGTGGTTTGTAAACCTTGGTTTATGGCTGCATCATGAGTGACACAGACTAATTGTGGCCTGTTAAAAATATGGTTCAATGAACCATGGCTTAGCGCAATTTGTGAAACTGGGTTTCATGTCTTTTCGCCATAAGGTCAAGCTACGTACAGCACAGGTATGTACTCAACATTTCTGATGTGTCTGTAAGTCCTTAAAAATGGCCCCCTCCCACCAATGCCTGGAAGGTAGGAATACAATTACTGAGCAAGGACAGACCTAGGCTGCACAACCCCACAACTCTGTTGTGTGTTTCTTTCAGTGTGTCACGTTGGGATGGGTTGATCTTTCTCAGTGTACGATGAAGGTATTCACACTGCATAATACAGGCTATCAATAGATCTGTCTTTCTTAACTTGACAAATTTCAGATGTTTGAGGATGACAGTACTCAGGTTTCTTAGCCTTTGCTCACACTGGGTGGAAATGATTAGAACCAAAGTTGGGGGGGGGATCAGGTGGGGAGTTCTGCTGGAGGTGACTGGGAGGTAGTGACACACCCAAGTACAAATATAACTTACTGAATATGCCTAGAAGCTATTTTGTTTTTACATAACTTTGTGATGATGTGGGATATTTTTTTTCACATGTGTGCTCCCGATCTCAGAACACTCTCTGTCTTTCTCTGTCTCTCTCTGTCTCTCTCCTTCATAGGCAGGGTGCTCCTGTGCCAGGCAAACCAAGAAGGATCTCCCATGTACAGTGCCCCCAGTTCACTAGTATACACGTCCACAAGTAAGCCAATTTTACGGCTGTCTTTTACCTCGGATTGCTTGATTGCTTGATTGCCTGGGAAATGTCCACAGGGACCTAGCTCTCTGGCTAAGTTGAACGTGAGGTCTAAGAAATCTGCAGCTTCAGATCTGAGAGCAGGTGATGCCTCTTGCCTGCCAAGGAGGTTATGCTGTAGAACCCCTTATCTCTATCTAGAAGGGGCAGCACGCATTGCATGGTGTGATGGGAGTTGTAGTCTGGCATATCTGTCAGGCAAAAGGTTGGAGATGGTTGGGGTAGGCTCGCTGCCTTTCTGCAAGGCATGGAAGAAAAGTTGTAAGCCCCCAGGGCAGACACACAAGCCCCAGCCTAGGGTGCAGAAAAGGAGAGGCAGGAAAGAGAACTGGCTGGACATGATCGTTCCTAGGGCCTCTCTAAGGTGCCCCTCAAATGAAAGGTTTAATGTCACATTGAATCAACTTTTGAATATATAAAGAGGATCACGTAACTTTTATGAATTCAATTTAATATAACCTTAATTTGCATGGCAATTAAATCAAAATTGGGTTTTATCTTAGCCCCACAGACCTCTTTGTTTCAGATCAGTCCCAAGGAGGGAGGTGGAAGTGGGATTCCAGCTGTGTCATTGCAAAGTCAAGTGACCTCAGCTCTAGAAAAGTTGTGCATTTAAGTTTGGGAAAGATGGCTTTCAGCAACTTTTTGACAGACTGTGGTATGATTATTAAGGAGGCTGATAAAGGTGAAACGGTTATGGTGTCAAATAGGAAGGGCTGTGAGTAAGATACTTTACTGCATACAATGAAGAGATGTGGTGTCTTATGCTGCATATATGAATAATTTTATCAAATGTCAATGGCAAACTTTAAGACCATTCTGGCAAACAATCTCCTTAGAGACCGACTTCCAAATTAAGAATCCATAATCAATCCAGGACACCTATTTATTTCTTTGTTTGTTTAATGATATTTAATGTATTGGTATGCTGCCTATCCCCCAAGGCTCAAAACATCTTCAAAAATAATCAATAAACCCACTCATAATAGAAACAAAATTGATAAAATCAAAATGCTGGATGGAACGACCAGGTCTTGTCTGTTGTCCTCAAAGTCAGAAAGGAAGGAAGGGACCAGATCTCCATGCAGAAGGAATTCTGAAGTAAGGGGGAGGCAACTGAAAATGTCCATTTCTGAGGTCCTGCAAGATACCATCAATTTTTGTCTTGTTTTAGTGTGTATATGTTCTCTGAATCCACCACCAAGCTTCCTTTAAAAGCCATTTCTCAATATGTTGGGCGTTTTTTCCCTTCTCATTCTACTTTGAAGCCCTTTGTTTTTGTTTCAAGGATGGTCTGCAGGAAGAAAAGGTCAAAAACAAAAAATAAAAACAGTGACCTTTTCTCACATGCATTGAAGTTGTGACCTCCATCTAGACATTTTTGCCCCTTCCTCCCCCAACATCCCTGCTTGTTTCTTTCTTCTCAGCAAGTCTCCCACAAAACCACCACTGGTCAAGGTACAAAAACTCTGCTGAATTATCACTAATATTCCAACATCTGAAACAAAAAGTCCAGCTTCTTGAAAGTTGCCCTTTAGTCCAATATCCATGCTACAGGTGCAAAGTCATAGTAGACAAAATAGTAGTAGTAGTAGTAGTAGTAATAATAATAATAATTAATAATAATAATAATAATAATAATAATAATAATAATAATAATATTGTCGTCATCCTTGGGAAGGACTCGATAGGTGGATAAAAATGCCAAATCCAGTCTAAACATCTGGC